ATGCACCGGGATGTCATGCTTGGAGAAAACTCTCCTGAGTTTTTCTGATACACCGGCTACATAGGGGATGACAATGTTGTTGCATCTGTCTTTCTTTTCCTCCCTCGCTGGTGTTGGATCTTCTTTTCTGTGCCTCTTTGCTGACTTTATGAATGCCCAATTAGGATAACGGCATGTTTTGAGTGCTTCCTTTATATGTGTGTGTTCCTTCTTTTTTTCTTCAGGCTTAGAGGGAACATGTTCTGCCCGGTGGTGTAGGGTGCTAATCACTCCAAGTTAGCCAATCACCCTCTGGTGGTGCTAATCACCAGAGGGTGATGGGAGTCAAAGAGGAGGTATTGGTCTGTGCGTGTGGGCTTCCAGTAAACTTCAATGTTGAGGTTGCCATTCTCTTCAATGTGCTCAGCGCAGTCCAGGAAAGGCAAACAGTTATCCTTTGTGTCTTCCCTGGTGAACTTGATGTTTTTATCCACAGCGTTAATGTGCGCAGTGAAAGATTCCACTTCTTGTGTCTTGATTTTGACCCAGGTGTCGTCTACATATCTGTACCAGTGGCTGGGTACTCTTTCTTTGAAAGAGTACATATCTGTACCAGTGGCTGGGTACTCTTTCTTTGAAAGAGCCAAGAGCCTTCCTTTCCACTTCCTCCATGTAAAGGTTGGCTACAATAGGTGACACGGGGGAGCCCATGGCACAGCCATGTTTTTGTCTGTAAAAGCCTTTGTTGTATTTGAAATATGTAGTGGTGAGGCAGAGGTCTAACAGTGTGCAGATCTGATTGGGTGTGAAGTTGGTCCTGTCTTCCAAGGAGCTGTCTTCTTGTAGTCATTTTCTGACAGTCTCCACGGCCTCCGTGGTGGGTATGCAAGTGAAGAGAGAGAATACATCAAAGGACACCATGGTTTCATCTGGATCCAGGGTAAGTTTCTGGACCTTGTCGGTGAAGTCGGTGGAGTTCTTGATGTGGTGTGGGGTGTTCCCCACGAGAGGAGCAAGGATGGTAGCAAGGTGTTTAGCAATGTTATAAGTGGCTGAGTTTATGGTACTGACTATGGGTCTGAGTGGGACAGCTTCCTTGTGGATTTTAGGAAGTCCGTAAATGCAGGGTATGGCATCCCCTGGATAAAGGCGGTGATATGTGAGATGGTCAATGATTTTGTCCTTTTCAAAGTCTTGAAGGCAAGCTATAACTTTCTTTTTGTAGCTGCTTGTGGGGTCTCGCTTTAAGGCTTTGTAGGTATTGTTGTCACTGAGGAGTGTAGTGATCTTTGTGTGGTAATCTGTAGTGTTTAAGACCACGGTGCATCTTCCCTTATCAGCTGGTAAAATAGTGATGTTGTGGTCTTTGCTCAGGGAAGCGACAGCCTTCTTTTCTTGTATTGTGAGGTTGGACGGAGGGACTTTGGCACTGGAGAGGGTGGCTGAGACTTTCATCCTGATTTGCTCTGCTTCTGTCTGTGATAATTTGTTAATCCGTATGGCGGTTTCTGTGGCTGTGATGAGGTCCACTATGGGCAACTGTTGCAGGGAAATGGTAAAATTGAGTCCTTTGGCTAATACTCTCTTTTCAGTGAGATTCTGGTCTGAAAAGTTCTTTACCCATTTCTCCTGACTGTCTTCAGGTGTGTTTTCTTCTCTGAGTTATGTAGGTTCAGAATGAGGAGTGTGTGTTTTTGAAAGCAAGGTGTGAAATTTCCTGCGTTGTCTTTCTTTTCCCTTAGAGTGTTGGGCCCGCTGAGCCTTGTCCACAAACTTGTAAACCTCTTCTAAGATTGGAGAGGGTAGAAGGGTTTCCAGTTCCTGCAGAGTCTGGCTGATCTTGATCTGGAGGGCATCTATAGTGAAATGGGCCTGTCTTATCCTTTCACTTAAAAGCTGATTTTGTGCTCTCTGTAGAATCAAGTCTGCTCTGTATCCCCTGACAGCAGATCCAAGGCGCAAGCTCTTAGGAACAACTCTGCTTTGTCTGCATCTTAGGTTGAAACAGAGATGGTTCCTATAATCCACTAGTTTCCTTGATTCCCTTTCATACTCCAGCACCAGTTGAAGGGTGTTCCTCCCAAAATGTACGGCAATATGTCTGTGAAGGTTCTCAGTCATCCAGGTCATCGTAGTCAAAGGAGCTTGCAAAGAAAAGCATCTGGACTTCTTTAAGTTGCTAGAAGACGTTTCACCTCTCATCCAAGAAGCTTCTTCAGTTCTAAGGACCTTAGAACTGTGTGTGTGTGTGTGTGTGTGTGTGTGTGTGTGTGTGTGTGTGTGTGTGTGTGTGTGTGTGTGTGCGCGTGCGTGCGTGCGTGCGTGCGTCTGAGAGACAGAAAATGTATATACATGGCTCATGAGCAGATGTATGTACAGTAATAAACTTACCAATAAACAAAGGTATGGACATTCTTCTCTCATTTTTTATTAACTGCTTCCTTCGCTGCTATTATTTGCTAGATAATGATGAGCACTGACAGGTGTCTTTGTAAGGTCCACCTGTCCACCTGCTCTTTCATTCTAATCAGCCAATCAAATGACAGCAACTCTGTTTATTCAAGTGAGCTTTAGTTTTAGAAAATGTGTTGTTAACACCAGAGGTCAGAGAAGAATGGTACACTACTGGAAGCTGATAGGAAGCCGACGGTAAATCAAATAACCCCTCATTGCAATCAATGTATGCAGAACAGCATCTTTACAGAAACAGAAGACCACACCAGGCGCCAAACTTGTCAGTTAAGAACAGGAAACTGAGACTACTGTTCAAATGGGCTCACCAAAATCGGACAATAGAAGACTGGAAAATGTTGCCTGGCCTCATGAGTCACAACTTCTGCTGCTGTATTCACTTGGTAGAGTTAAAATCTGGTGTAACAACATGAATGCATTGATTACTCCTGCCTCGATGAAGACTGGGAGAGGATCATTCTCACCTACCTCCGACCTCTGGTGAGCGCGCTGCTGGGCCCCCTGCAGTTTGCTTACCATCCTGATTTTGGGGTGGATGATGCAGTCATCTGCCTCCTGCACAGATCACTTTCACACCTGAAGAGTACTGGAAGCAGTGTGAGAGTCATGTTTTTTCTAATTTTCCACTGCATTCAATACAATCAAACCAGCGCTGAGGGAGAAGCTGGAAGGAGCAGGAGTCGAACATTACCCAATTTCAGGGACAGTCGACCATGTAAGGTTTCAGTGCTGTATGTCTGAGGTGGTGGTTTATAGCACATGGGCCCCTCATAAATAAAACTGAGTTAAATTGAAAATGAGGCTTTCAACACTGAGCATATAGCAATTTTTTTAAACATAACAATACAAACTTGTATGTTGTCTGTATGCTATTTCAATTTTTTTATTGCATTCTGGTTTTGTTTATATTCTACTCAGTGTCCCAATTGTTTCTGTAAACTATAAATATTTTTCTGTACATAAAAGTTTTGCTGGTTTGTCTTTGCCCCACCTGAGTGTGAGCCCAGTTGACACCAGCTCAGCCTTCAATGAGAAGCATACAGTACCAAAGAAATTCATAGCCCAGCACAAGAGGTCAAAGTACCAGAGAAATAAAAAAAACTCTCAAGCTCAGTTTGTTAGAAAAACAGAGTCAAGCCATCCTTAAATACAGCTGCTTTATTTCCCCCTCATACAAGTTGTGGCTTTAATCATTCTCACCTATAATAATTCTTGAGTATTTTTCTCTTTTGCATCAGTCTCTGTTAAAGGTCCATAAAAATTCAACAAATATGCTGCGAACTTACAGTATATCTGTTCTACCTTGTTCCTTGAAGTAATCGCACATCTACACCACCAATTACATTAAAATAATATAAACATATACATGAAAATAACTTTAATTTTTATTTAGTTTTGCATTCTGTCTGGTATTGATATGCTCAATGCAATTTTTACCAAGAAGTTTCACATTTTAAGTTTTCATTATAAGTAGTAGTAATTTGGCATTTAGCTAAGGTCAGTGTTTTTACTTGTTATATGAGGCAATACCTGGATCCTACAGAGCTTGCACAGATAATCCAGCTGCTCCAGGATGGCACATCGATATGTGCCACTGTATGGAGCCAATTACATGGAAAATCTTGGAATAATCATCTGGTAACGCTCTGGGGCCACATTTCAACCACAATGAACATCAAAGAAGGACTCCTCCGCAGCTGCCTTGCTTCCTGCATCCATTTAGTGGATGCAGGAAGCAAGGAAACAGGTGTGGGAGGAGAAGGGCATATTGGCCCGCAGAAAGCAGAACGATGGAGCTAACTTGGAGACTATTCCGAACAACCTGTAACCTATTTTTCACCGTTCCTGCCAACTGCTCAGACTAACAAAACTGACGGGTTAAACTTTTTTTACAAAGGAGATTATCAGGTGATTCTGATGCTGAGTCTAATTTTTAGCAGAGCGAGAACATTCACATTTCAATTTATTATTATTACTGGTATTGTTATTGGTTTTGCATTTGGCTAAGGTCAGTGTTTCCACTGGTTATATGAGGCAATACCTGGACCCTTCAGAGGTTGCACAGCTAGCATAGCTCCTCTAGGATGGCACATCAATACGAGCCATTGCAAGAAGGTATGCTCTGTCTCCTAGCACAGACTCAGGAGGATGGAGCAGACACTAGGGGACACACAGTTACTCTAGGTGAGCTGGACAGGGTCGTAGAAGGTCCTTAACCGATCAGTAGGATCGATATCTCCTCTCTTATGCAAGGAGGAAGAAAATGAGAGCTGCCAGCAGGCCACTGGTGTGAATGTGTCTGACCAATCAATCAGAAACAGACTTCATGAGGGTGGCCTGAGGGCACAATCTCCTCTAGCAGGCCGTGCTCGCTGCCTGGCACTATGGAGCCTGATCGGCATTTACTCATGCACTATAATGTCCTTAAAATAGAGAAAGTAGAAATGTTTTGGTGCCATTTATTCAGAAAGCAAATGAATATTTTCATTTTTATGTCAGTTCAGTGAAGCTAAATCTAAATTGCTTTGAAGAGAGATGACGGCCACTCATATGTTTTTAGCATGTTTAATTTTAGTGGTAATGCTCTTGACAGACATGGCTTCTTCATCAACACTTAGTGACATTTATGACCACGTCAGTCTTCCTTGAATAGATCCACACTAGTTTGGACCATTTCCAAAATGGTCTTCATTCCACTCTCAGTGAAAAGCTTCTCCGATAGGTTGAGATCATCAGGCATTATGTTGCTCAAGGACAGATCAATAGTCTTTGTTCCTGGGGTGAGTGCTGGATCTGGGCAAAACCCTGCAAGAAGACATTTGTAAATAAAGTTCATTCATGTGAGAAAGAATACATTTGATTAATCTATGAACTTATCAAACATGGCGGTTACAAAAATATAAAGAGTACAGTGGCTTGCAAAAGTATTTGGCCCCCTTGAACTTTCCCACATTTTGTCACATTACAGCCACAAACATGAATCAGTTTTACTGGAATTCCACATGAAAGACAAAGTGGTGTACATGTGAGGAGTGGAACGAAAATCATACATGATTCCAAACATTTTTTATAAATAAATAACTAAAAAGTGGATTTCAGTCTCTAAATGTGCAAAGCTGGTAGAGACATACCCTAAAAGACTGGCAGCTGTAATTGGAGCAAAAGGTGGTTCCACAAAGTATCCGGTTGTTCAGTCTGACGTCACTAGCCGTGTCTGGGTCTAAACTCCGCTGCAGGTCCATATATCAAACGATCACTATGGCATTACTGAGAGTTGAAAAACTGTCTAAAGTCTTTCATCTTTAATAAAATGATCAGTGTTCTGCTCTACCAGGTGTAACAATTGAGTTTAACATCCAGGCATCCATGAAAACGGAATTTATGACATTTAACGGAGTTAGAAGATAGCAGGGAGTTAGCTCGCTAGCTTCTATCTAAATACAATATAGCATGTCCTGACTGCGGGGTTTTGGAAACAAATTAAAACGTACAGCTCTGTTATCACTTCCAGCATAAATGAAGACAGAAAACTAAACAGCAGTGACGTTTGTAGGGTTACTGAAGTTGGGCTACCTGGTATATAATGATGTGCTACGTGACCGCTAGCGACACAGCTATGTTAGCATAATATAAACAAGCTAACTTTTTTTCCACTCAATAAAAGTTAGCGTGAGTGCTCTCGGTGGTCAGGAACAAATGTAATCGCATGGCAGGATGCTGTAAAAGGACCAAACTTCAGCCAGGAGAACAACTGAGATAATCCATCCACAATACGAGGTTAGTCATTCATATACTGCTGCATGGGCTGGGCTGTAGTTACATCCTAAGGTTTTAAAAACTGAGCTTAAATAAATGATTAGCGGTAATAAAAGCTGAGGGAGGTCAGTGATCACTGACTGTTTTAGGAGCTTTTTGAGATCAAATAGAAGAAAATACATAACATTAAACATGTTAACAACACAAAAGCCATATTAAACGCAGACTACTTTAGACCCAGAAGTAGGATTCGTCGCGTCATCACTGAACAACCGGATAGACTCAGGGGGCTTAATAATTATGCACACCCCACTTTGCAGTTATTTATTTGTAAAAAAATGTTTGGAATCATGTATGATTTTCCTTCCACTTCTCACATGTACAACACTTTATATTGGTCTTTCACGTGGAATTCCAATAAAATTGATTCATGTTTGTGGCTGTGGAAATGTGGAAAAGTTCAAGGGGGCCGAATACTTTTGCAAGCCACTTTATAAAGATAATATTAGACTGAAGAAGTAATATTCAGTTCAACTGCAGTTTCTAAGCTTTCATATTATATAAAGGTTCATACCCTTTTCTGAATCCAAGATAGCAGGGGATTCTAGGTTCAGACACTCTGCCTGCTTTGTAAACTCTTCCAACTCAGCAGCAGACACTTTAACTCTCCTACCTGAGAGACAGAAAAGTGTTAGCACGGGGCCTACACAGTGACACCAAGTAAATAAAAAGATTAAAACACAAAGAAACAACTGTTGCTGTTACTACTTCAGGACCTGGACCACTTGCTGTAATTGAAGCAACCATGATATTGAAGGAGAATTTGTGGCCGTGAGCACATGAGCAAAGCCACGTCTAAATGGCTTTTAAAATCCGTTCATGCTTGAAAATCCAATCCAGTACGGCTCAATTGAAGGGATTCTACATAGTAGAGTTTTGAAAAAAATACTCATTGCCAATCACTGCAAATGCTTGATTTCAGTTCTTGCTAACCAGTTGTTAGATTTAGAGACAATTACAATTTCACACAGTAAATGAAATATTTCTTTAAGAACTGTGTTTTGTATTTTCTTGGGTTATCTTTGTCAAATATACAAATTTATTTGATGATCTGAAACATGTAAGTGTGCCTAGTACACAAAATAGAGAGAAACCAGGAAGAGGGCAAATACATTCACATCACTGCACTTTATTCTTGATGCTTTATTCTTTTTAAATTTGTTTTCTGAAAAAATGCCTTTAGTGGGCAACTATTATTTGTAACTGGTATTTCAAAGGGCAGTGTTTGGATTTGATTCATTAATGCAGGGGAAACCACTGTTCAATGATTAATCACTGTTTTAACTTGGAAATTAGTCACCAGCATTTCTTTCAGCTATAATAAATTAAATGCATGAAGCTGGACCATAAAAAATACTTAAGTACTTTGACATTACATTATTTAGGTGTGTCATTGTTCTTACTCAGGAGCTGGAGATCTTTAACTGTGGTTCTTCCAACGGTGTTATTTGAGTAGATAACAAGGCAGTCAGGGCAGCCAGTATTCAGCAGGAAAGCAGAATATTGGTAATTGTGCACTGTGGACAGATGACAGATGATGGCCACGCTTCATATCCTTTTAGCATTGGTAAGGGTGCAGTGTGCAAATACACACCAATCGATATAATGAAAGTGTTGTGGCAATGCTAGGCACAAAGTCTAAATCTGCCCATATGGAAAAGAAATAGTAAAAACATATATGATTTACTCATGAAAGTGGCCACTTTCTCATTACTTTCATATTTTTTTTTAGTAAGTATACAAAACATACAAGTTTCATTGTATAATTTTTCAAGGGATCTTATATGTGTTTTCACTCTTATATTCTTTTCATACAAGTTTCATACAAGACAGATAAAAACTTTATAAGATTTATATATATCTTTTCCATATGGGTGGTCATCCAAATGTTTGTTCCCTCAGTAATACTCACCCATATTGAAAGTGTTGTTAACCAAAGTCATGTTGGTTTTCAATGTGAAGCACATGCCCATCCTTTTAGAAGATAAAGAGATTTCTAAATTCGGATTATTTGAAAACAGTATCAGTTCAGGCAAGGTTTTATCATTTTTATTACATTTTTTGAATATGAAGATTATTGAACGTATTAGCCTCATTGGCAGCAGTGATGTTCATCCAGGCGGTCTCCACAAGCATCTTCGTCAGCATTTTGGATCCAGGTATGCCTGTGCTCTCTGCTATTTGTGTCCATTTTCCCACCAGCTGAAACAGATGGTGTATAATATACAGGGGGTAAAATAAGTATTGAAAACATCACCAGATTTCTCAGTACATACATTTCTAAAGGTGCTATTGACGTAAAATTCTATCCAGATGTCAGTAACAATCCAGCCAGTCCACACATGCAAATGTAACCCGGTGTTAAAAATGGGATTAAAAGTATAAATATTCATACTCTCACAATGGGAATAAATATTGATAAAAACAAAGTTAATTATAATAAATACTGATAAAAAGCATGTAAACATAAGTTTACTTAATATGTACATATGTATATGTAATATATAAATGGTGTGGGGGCAGTCCTTTAGAGTGTGTTTGTTAGATCCACTGAGCGACCAATCATTGGCCGGTCTGACCCTCCCCCAGTCTGTGTGTGCTGCTCAGACACCTGTGTGTGCCTTCGTGTGCCAGTCAGATACACCAGAGACACAGACGGTAAAAGATCCGCTTACTCGTGCAGCAAAGAAGCTAGCTGGATAGTGAAAGTCCTTTTTCGGTGAGAATAATAAGAGTGATACTGTATTCCAGAGGCCGTGAGCCAGCGTGAGCACTGTGAAGCCCCGTGTAGCATTTGTTGCTTCACATGGTCAAGTTTTTTCCCTTTGCTTATTTGGATTGGATTGGTTTTGAGGACCTGAGAAGAATCGAGGATCCCTTTTCCAGTACTGGATGGCGAGCCCAGCCCAAAGAGCCAGATGAACTGGTAGATTGTAACCCGACTGGTTACAAACACACTGAGTGACTAGTGAACACTGAAAGACTGAAATTGACTTTTAAAAAAAAGACACAAAAGAAAATATATCCTTGGGTCGACCATTTGTGGGGTTTATTTTATTTTATTTTGTTCTCAAGAAGCGCGCTCTACTTTTGTTAAATGTGCACAACCTGCTGAACTTTAATAATTGCTAATAAATGCAATTGTGTTTTCTACACCTATTGCGTACAAGTCCTCTGTTGTCATACACCCTTGGCTCCTACAAATCTAGAACCTGTCTGATCTGGCCCATATTCCCCTTCTGTCCTCGTACTAAGGTTAAAGGTAACTATACTGCCCGTACTACATGCAAAGAAGGCAAGAAGTAGCACTAACAGGTCTTACATGCCCACTACTAGTATTGCACCACCAGTGTTACACAAAGAAATCAAACCATAGATGTTATGTGTAAGAATGAGAAATGAAAGAAGGAAAAAGTATTGAACACGTTTACTGAAATTGTATTTGATACTTCATGTAAAAGCTTTTGTTGGTAATGACAACCTCAAGACGCCTCCTAGCCGCAGGCATCGATCAGGTGTGATTTTGGTTCATTCTTCTACACAAACAGTCTTCAAATTTTGTTTTTGGATCATCGTCTTGCTGTAAGGTCCGTCAGCTTTTCATCTTCAACATCCTGGTAGATGGCAGCAGAACATTTTTCCATTCATCTTCCTCCATTTATATGAAACATTCCAGTGCCACATGATGAAAAACAGCCCCATACAACTCCAAACTTCACTTTTGGTATAATGTTTTTGGGGTGAGGCCTTTTGACCTCCAGACATGGCGTGTATTAAGGCATCAGTTCAGTTTTGGTCTCAACTGACCAGAGTATATTTTTCCCAGTATTTCACAGGCTTGTCTAAATGTTGTTCAGCAAACCTTAAACGTGCTTTAGTATGTTTTTTTTCTTCAGCAATTGAGTCTTGCATGGTGAGCGTGCATACAGGCCATGGCAGTTGAGAGGATTTCAAGTCTTTTTGTAGCTCTTCGCAAGTGCTCCTTGGCTCTTGGACAACTCTTCAGATAATTCTTTTCACTCCCCTGTCTGAAAACTGGTGGGGAGCAGCTGGTTCTGGATGCTTTATGGTGAAATTATGTTCTGTCCTGCCCCAACAGTGCTCACTGGAACCTTCAGTAATTTAGAAATTCTGCTGTAACCAATGCCATCAATTTGTTTTGCAACAATAAGATTATGAAGGTCATGATATGTTTTTTGTGTGACACCTTCTTCTTCTTGTAAGTATTATTGGCAGTTGGCAAACAACTGCATGGTGCATTTCCACCACCACTGGTATGGAGTGTGGACAGGATTAAAAATAAATAAATAAAATTAAAAAAAAATTTTTTTAAAAGCAACCTACTTCATGTCCTTCCAAACAATCTTCCTTCTCTCACAAACTGAAACAAAGCCTGATAACTTTTATTCCCCGACTCCTTTTGTAATAACTTAATAAGATCCAATTTCATGTTAATGTTACTGAGACTTCAAACCAGTTGTGTCCTCTCTACCTTCCGACACTGCAAAATAACATGCTCCAAAGTTTCCTCCTCTCCACAACAATCACATTTCCCTGAATTATGTTTCCCTATCAAGAATAGTATAGAATTCAATCCTGTATGTCCAAATCTCAGTCTTGACACCACAACCTCCTTTCGCCTACTCCTTCCTGTGGCTCTCCTTACTCCCATCCCCCTTTGAATTTTATAAAACCACCTTCCCCTCCTTTCTTCTTCCCACTGTTTCTGCCATCTACCCCTCATTTCTAGCTTAATAATATGCTTAACTTCCACCTGACCAAAACTCACCACCAGATCAACTATCCTATGATTAGTGGCTTCCTTTGCTAACCTATCCGCTGCTTCATTCCCCCTTACCCCATAGTGAGCTGGGACCCATACAAACACTACTGACAGACAGATATGTATTCTGAAAAGAGTTTGCTGAATCTCTATTAAAATATCTGATCTACCTTCCGAATGACCTTTCTGTAGACTGACCAAGGCTGCTCTTGAATCTGAACAAATAATTGCTTTCAACGGCCTCAACTCTTCCACCCATTGAACCGCTAATAGAATTGCTATCATTTCTCCTGTAAACACAGACAATCCATCATTAATCCTCTTCCTAATTACTACTGCTACCCCCACATGACTTAGCTGGATTCTTTGAAGCATCTGTATATACTTGCACATACCCACAATACTGTTCAGTGTAACCGTGAACTGAATTTGAGTGTAGACCGCCTGCCCTATCCTGACTCTTCTGGTGCAATAAAGCAAAATCTACAGTTGCTTCAGGAAGTATCCATGGAGGGATTGCAGGCCACGGCACTCGCTGACATATGTCTAACTGATCTAATTTAAGTTCTCTAGCTCTTCCCCCACCACCCATCCAAAGCTCTTTAACTTCCTCCTGCCTTTCTCCCAGCAAGGTTTAAGTACTTCTAGTGTAGGGTGATCCTTCCGCTGACCCTGTAAGTTTGCCCAATAAATCAATCTAAGCTGTTCCCTCCTCAGCCCTAGTGTCATTTTCTCCATCTCCACCTGCAAAGTTACAGTAGGAGTTTGTGTGACACCTTGGTAATGAGACATCTTTTTATAGGCCATCAGTTAGAATAGAACCAACTGATATTAATTTGCACTAGGGGGCAGGATTGCTTTCTAATTGCTGATAGATTTCAGCTGGTGTCATGACGTTCCATGCCTTTTTGCAACTTCCTTTCTTCATGTGTTCAATAGTTTTCCTTGTGTCATCTTATTATAACACATAGCTTAATTTATGGACATTGATGATTTTACTTCTTTGTATGTGTTGACTGGATGGGTGGTTACCCACATCTGGTGTAAATTTCATGTAAATTTGGTGACATGTTCAAAACTTATTTTACTCAGCGGAAAGTGATAAGTGAAAGGTGAGATAAGAGAGAGTCTGACCTGATTTCCGTGGATTTCACGAGGCTGGATTAGATTCTCACAGCTTGTCACAGGAGCTGAGTGTCCAAGAGACAGAAGACCGAGCACAGCTACAGCAACGTGAACAAACTCCATCATGGCTCATCTGCTGATAGTGTGGGTTCAGACTTTGAAGTGTGTTTTAGACATACGAGACTCAGCCCAGTTTAGGTGACGTATTGCTCAATTGTTTACTTATGTGTTGTAATCGTACTTAAAAGAACATAACAGACATATTTACTCTGTGGCAGTACAGTCAGGGGGGTTATTTAAATGTGTTGCGGCAATGCCACCTAAGGGATTTTCACCCCTAGGAAATAAAAAGATTGAAAATGTAACAAATTAAATTAAAAGCTACCTGGATTTGAAAGCACATCCTGGCAAGAGAGATGGATTCAATGATAAAAAGAACACTTTATTGAAAGTAATACAATAAAAAGTTAAATGGAATGGAAAGACTGTCTTTCAGCCTAATAGTGTCCTCAAATCAGTGCCAAGAAATGTCTTGATGAATGCTCAATCATCCAGGTAAGTAAATCCCAAAACGTTGATTCTGTTCATCTGGACATGTTTTTATGTTTTTATAAATAAAGGAACTGACCTCACAGCCCATTGCTCATTCAGTGGACTATAGTTTCATGCAAATGTGTTTATAAGCAGGGGTGCACATAAGTGGTCCGCAGGTGCGCATTCGCTGTCAAAATAAAAGACATGCACCAGATAAGAAGTTGCAACGTGCATTTGCGTACATAAGATGTTCTGGAGGAGGACAGTCATTTGTTCAGAACTCTTAAAGATGTCGAAGAAGCAAGCTCCGTAAGCAATTACTTTGGTGTTACTCCACCAAAGTAATTGCAAAGTAATTGTGGTTCGAACTCATTCTGACATTTCTTTGGAGGTGGAGGAACACCAAGGAATAAGTCTGAATTAGTGGGCCTGCTGAAGCGCAGACCCAACATTATTTGGTCATTCGAGCCGGAGTCCAACAAATGGCTTTCCACCGAGGAGGGGGAGACGACACACCGAAATTGTGAAATTTGCACAAAGCAGATGAAAAAGTGAGTGTGAATGTGCCTGACGTCAGTGTGTGTGCGCGCTCCAGAGGAGTGTGAAAGTGTGTGAAGCAGTCTCCAGCTGGGAAGAGGGTGACTCTGCAGGTCACCAACTACCCTAGTGGACGCAAAAGAAATAAAATTTGTGTTGTTGATGAAAATAAGCAACAATAATATGAAGAGTGTTTGGTGTCTCTCAGCCTAAAAACAACTACCATCTCACTTTCAGTTCACTTTCAAACCAGAGAGAGGAGATGTGTGTTGTTTAAGTAGTGATGAGAATGTCCCTCAGACAGGTGAAGAGCAGACCTGGATCAATTTTCCACATGCAGCAGTTGGAAGAAAATTATAGGTTAAAAATCATTAGAAACACTCAGGCCGAGTTTTGGCCAAATTGTGTTAACAGCTTAACTCCCATGTGTTTGTCACCTGAGAAAGCAAGCTCCCTGAAGACAAGAAATGCAGTTGCAAAGAGCAACAACATGGCAGTCCAAGACACAACAGCAGAGTCCTGAGCAGAGAGACCCAGCAAGCAGCAGTATGTGCAAACGGCATCAGAGAGAGAAAAACCATCACTTTGACTGGATGGAGTGCGTTTCCAGCAAGCTGCAACTTCACTGTGTGTGAAGAGGACCTGTGAAAAGACTGTCTGAGTTGACATTTGCCACGTTTGGAGTTAAATGGCAATGAAAGAGACAGTGGGAGAATACACAGGACGAAGCTGAAAAGAAGAACTACCATTGGACTGTTGAAGTGGGAGAGGAGAGCAGGTGAGGACATAGAGGAATGCTGTTGTTTAGAGTGGGAAATCAAATTTGGGTTAGCAAACCTGGGAAAAGGGAAACTGACTGCTGTAAGTGGGTAAACTGAGAAGGAGTCTGGACCACAAAATGAGAGAGGTACATAAAATCACACAAACAGAAAATGCATTAACCCTACTAACACATATATACCGGTACACATAGAATGAAACTCATGAAGACCAGACAACATCTTAAGCATGTGTTTCTGTTTATCATCTTGTCCAGTTCACTTAGTAAGATGAAAAGTGATACATAGACTAGTGGACTAGTATTGTTTTGGGGAAAGATGATTGCATTATAGCTGGGGGGAAAACAGAATGCTGATGAGAGATGAGATGAGATAGCCTTTATTTGTCAGTTGCAGGTCTTTTGCCCACAACCGAGATGACAGACCTTGCAGACCGTACATACAATACACAAACATCACATTGGGGAGACAGGTCAGGCTAGGTAGCGAGGAAAAAAACATTGAAATGTGTAACACAAAAGGATAATACAGGAATGCACAGATATCAACACACCATAGCACAATAAACACAGACAAGCAACATGGGAAAGAGTTCCAGTGTGTACATCTGATCTGGGACCGCTGCTATCTTTCGACTGCGCCTCCAGCTGACCCGATGTCCACATCAGAGGGGAGGTAAGCGTTGGAGGTGGCATTGGATCCGGGGTAGGGAGGGTGATGCGTCGGTGAGTGCTTATCAGTATCAGTATATGTATGTGTGTGCGTCTCCATAGTTCAGCTGAGACAGTGTCCTTCGCCCTGCCAGGCTAAGTAAACAGTCTTCCAGCCAACCCAGGTGGCCTTGCATGGAATGGGAAGGAACAGACTCAACAGTCATTATCAGGGTGTTGTTGTTCAGCTCCGGCCTTGCAGCTGGCGCCAAAGGGGTATCAGCATAAGTGATGGTATTTTTTACTTTAGTGCAAACAGCTCATATGAATTTCAAAGCAGTTCTACAGTCCAACACTGGTCTCTCAATCTCCCGTTGGAGAGCCGCGGGCTTCGCCATACTTGCGTTCTGTGATGTTGTCATTTCTTTTTTTTTCTTTTTTTTTTTTTTTTTTTTTTTTCCTGTCCCGTTTGGCTCTTTTGCCATCAGAATTGTTGTCTAAAGGCAAAGAAAGATGCCCTACGGATTTACTTTACCAAATTGACCATCCCAGCCTTGCCGTAATGGTCCATTTGATTCACCTTTTATTGTTTATTTTATTTTCACTTACTGAATACGGGACAGACTTGACTGGGGGAAAGAAGGGGAGAAAGAAAGAGGGAAAGAGAAACAGCTGAGAAGAGGGACGGGGGAGAAGGGCAAAAGACAAAAACCAACAGAATGGGCAGAGAAAAAAAATGCATATATCAATCACCTGGGTCACCTGCTGAGAAAGAAAAAAGAAAACAAGCAGAAGAGAACAAGAGTAATAGAATAAACAACATCACAATGATATATGGGAATATGACAGTAAATACTAAATATTAAACATTATTGTGCAGCACATAAGATCAACAGAACACAGTGTGCTTTGAGGTAGGAGCCAAAAAGGGTGTAGTTTGTGGGTGTGATCACCCGTGTGTACACCTGTGAGCATGGACGCGCTTGTTTTTTGTTTTTTAAAAGGTTCCTTCATGTAATAATCTGCTAGAGGGTGTGGGGGGGCCACAGCCCCGTCCTTCAGGGCATGAAGCAGGTATGGAGGAGATCAAAACTCCAGACATCCAGAGGCCCCCAGAACACAAGAGACCAAGGAAGACCAACAGAGGGGCAGCTGCGCCACTGTCCCAGAAAGAGCTGAGGAGAGTCCCAGATGAGGGCTCACCCAGCAGCCGCGGAGCAGAAGCCAGGGGGAGTTGCAGTGACGCGCCCGTGAGCTCCGCCGGCAGCCAGCCGCGCCTGAGTGACCGAGCCCCAGGCCGAGAGGCCGGGGGCACCCCACCTCCGAAGTGGCCCGAGCGAGCCCCAGGCTCCAGGCCCCGACAAGCGGCCGCCAAGGAGTGAGCCGGTGTGTACCTGGACGCCCACCCCCGGACACAAAGAACCACCAACGCACCGATGTCCGAGGGGGACCGCCACTGGCAGGGGAAGTGGTGGTAGGGGGAGATAGGCCTCCATACCTTGGAGGGCCTGAGATGTCCCCAGAGAGGTGGCGCCTGACACCCAACCTGACATATAGACACAGACATACAGGCACACACAGATACAAACATCCATTCCCACCCTCATGCTCTCATATGCACTTACTCCACACTCAACCAACGTGGAGACAGACATAAAGAGACGTTGTACACACGATCACACTCCCCAAGCGTACTCTACAAACCGGGTCTAGGTGCCCTTGCCCCTGGAGGGGGGAACTGCACCCAGACCCAGGTGGTGTTACCCTTTTCCCTACGGTGGGGGGAGGTAGACCGCCCCGACTCTGCAGCAGCAGGAAGGCCCCACACTCCAGACCGCAGTCGGACGGCCAACTCCTCCTCCTAGCCCCCCCGCTCCAGCAGGTCGCAGAGAATGGGGGTGAGAGAAGACTCCAAACCTCCCTCCACCCGCTCATTGTAGTGTTGATGCATGTGTGTTCTAAGGTGCATTTAAAACCCAGGAGGGCTTGGAGCTACCTGCCAGAGAGCAGCAGGTAAGCGCATGGTCCCTCCTGCTAGCCCTCAATGTCTACGTGTATTTAAAATTGAGAGGTGGGCAACGATGCCAGGGGTGGGGTGTACACCCTGATGGTACTTTGGACTCCGTGTATCGTGCCCACCCCCAAGATCCTATATGTATGTGTAATGAGAGTGTGAGTAATGTGAATGTCTAAGTTGTGGGATAAAATTGAGGCAGAGGCAGCCAGAAGGGGACAGAGGGGGGGGTAGCCTCCTCTGCACCCTGGTGACATACCCCTACTCCAAGGTCCTGCATGTGTGGGTGGTTGTGGTGGAGCGGGAAGAGGGAGGCAGCTGGAGATGGGGAGGGAAGGAAGGGAGGGGCAAGTGACCCTTCCCTGGGGCCAGCTCCCCCGCTGACCCCAGTAGGCACCCCCATACTCCGCGACCCGCCAGGGATAGGGGGCCCAGGCCCATCCAGACCGGGGCCCAGCGCAGCAGCGCCTCCCGGCCCCACAGAGCCCGGGACAGTCCTCCCAACCCCACCACAGAGAAAACTGCACCCACCCCACCATCCACTCATCTTCCAGACTACATAAGACAATAAACACCCAGGCTGTGATCTTCCTCCACCTCTCCTGTATCTCCCCCTCCTGCAGAGGGAGCTCCTGAAGAG